GTAAGGAATCTAAATTTGTCTTTAAGCTAAGCCAGAGGCATAAAGTGGAAACACTGATGCCACGAGGTCGTTCAACGCTCTAGTAAACAATTAAGACAGCTTATTCAATGGTTCTTTCCATCAGCAATGTTTCCTACTTTATGACTTGGGAGAAAATCTGGATGGAGTCTTCTCTGCAACACCTCAATTCAAATCCTATTGAAATTACTACGATACCAAATGAAATCTCTAAATTCTGGATCAAAATCTGAAGGCTAGAATGTCTAATGTGTTTTACTGGGACACAAACTATCTAGATACACATTGGAACTTCAAAAAAATAGCAGCATTACACTTAATTTTAATAAGCTCCTATGAATTATGGAAACAATGTGGTAGCCAAACACCTGCTGTTCCAGATGCCTGAACAATACTCTAATATCCCGCTTCAAGTGTTCAGCTGAACTAAGGTTTTACCAAGAGTTTTGTTAACCTGAATAGGCAAATCTTTCTGAAAAAATAGTTCAAATATTCTCATTTGGATTAATTGCAAACATCTGTTTCCCTGTGGCAGCACAGCAAGAGGCTGCCTTTAATGGATTTTGGATCAATCTAACAGTCCAGCCCCTTCCCTGTGGTGTGAGATGAGTGGCACCAATTTAGTCTAACTCACTGAATTTCAGGTGTACAAAGATCTTTTCGCTGTAAAAATCCATGTCCTGTATGGGTAAAATTATTCCAGTTATGATGAGCTACGTGGTTTTTGAAAGCTTTTAGTTTGTCCAAGTCACAGTTGTACATATTCCTGCTCTTGAAACCACAGTGCAGGTAACAGTTCATACCTGGCTCGGGGACATCAGTGCTGAGTATGTGGTGATCTGTGTATGTCTTTGCTCTAACACCTCCCCCTTCTTTTTTATTTTGATAGCAGAATGTTTACCCTTCCAGTTGGCAATTTTTGTGATACTCAGAGCCAAAAAGCTTAGCAGAGTCTGCTTTCTGGACAGTTATAAGGTAATGAAAACAAGGTAAAATCAGTCCAGGAAAGGAATAAAGTGCACAGCAAGACAGAGGCAAGGACCTCTGTGACCTACTCAGTTTTTGCAAACTTAAGGTATGTAATTCTATGTTAATAGATGTTCCAGTTTCTTAACATCCCTATGGAAAAAAAAATCAGTAATAATTAGGAAACAAGTTTTCTTTCTCATTTTGCTTTTGCACTTCACCATCTATCCTCTATTAACTGCTCTCTTCATTTGCTCAGTCTTGTCTCTTGAGCAGATAAAAGGGTTTCATTAAAGCAAAGCTTAATGCTGTCAGTGGCAGGAGAGCTGCCAGCCCTGGTGGTTTTAGTAAGCTGACGTAAGTGTGCTAATACTTAATAAACTCCTTCTATTCACAGCAGTCCTTTGCAAATATTCCTTTATCTCATATGAAAAACTAAGTTATGCAATTCAAAGGAGTAATAAAAGACCAGACACCACACTCTACCTTATCTTTATTTATATCTATCTATCTCTCTATAGTTCTGTCCTAAAAGAAGCAGCAGCATAGTATCAATCATAACCTCTGCGGTACCAGAAGCACTTCTTGAGATTACAGAAAAGTCTAACAACAGCTTCATGAAAGAATTCTGTTTCAGAGATTATTAAGAAGAAACCAGCACTGGACAATCAAAACAGAACTTTTTTTTCCAAGGATTTCCTGCCATAGTCCATTTGCAGAGCAGATGTTCTAAACCTATCTGAAGGATATCTGTTATAACCATCTAGTATAGTTTATCTCTAATTTATCCAGAGGGAAAAAAACCCCCAGATTCTACAAATCACTGACACCTTCTGTCACTGCCATAGCACTTAATACGGTAGAAAATACTCTGAAGAATACCAAGTGAGCTACATAAAAGTACTAGTCAGCATCATTGATTATCAAAGTAAAAGCCTTTATCCTCCTTAATATTATTTGCCTTTCTTCAGGGCTCCACAGCTCCATCTATTACTTCATGTTTAATTGAAACAAAGTTTTTACAGCAACAAAGCATTGAACAGTCATCTCTTACATAAGAGAACAAATCTGTAGCAGTAGAAGAGTTTCAATTCAACAAAAATTTTGAAAAAAATTCTAAAAAAGAAAAAATAAGAGTGCTTACATCAAAAAGAGAAGATTGATCTTAATTCTTCTCTCTTGAAAGATTAATATCATTGTTTAGATAATGTAATAAATATGGGAGAGAGGGGTGGGATGTGTGTGGAGGGACAAGTCAGGAGGGAGAAGGCACAACCCTGATGTCTAATAGAAAACATACTCAAGAAGCAACATGATTTATTTCAGTGCACATTTGTCTGAGAACTACTGTCAGGCAAGGGCAGAAATGATGGTGGAGCACTCCCATAGCATCATTTCTCCAGCCATTTGTGACAACCATAATAGAAAACATTGTCTAGCAACAGCTGATTTTTTATTCATTGCCAAGGGTACTAAAGACCTTACTTGTTTTAGTTCATACAAAATTACCACACAGGTGGAAAAATAATAAAAAGACCATGGTTTTGTGAATAGAGAGGATTGTATTTTAAACTCAAAACCTAAACTGTCTCAATAAGAAAAAAAACCCATTAATCTTTGTAAGGTTTAGCAAAGAAAAACTAATGATGCACATGCCTATTATTATATTTAGTGTAGAATTTATACACCAGCTACTCCAGTGAGGCTAACAACATATCAGCCACTTTGCAGAGAGTCAGAAGACCTACCAAGGAAAATAAACCTGCCTTCTCGATCAAGGACTGTCTGTTTCCCCAAGGAAAGATAAATTATGCTGAAGTGACCTACAACAGGTAGCACTCATGTTGCTTAGCCATAGCTGTGGTGAAGCCTTCAAATAAAGCGCAGCTTGGCACTTCGTGATGGATTAGGCTTCTTCATGGTCACCCGAGTACACTCCTAAACAATTCTCCTCCATGTTATTTCATTAATTTATTTCATATCCTTGCAGGGCAAAACAGTACTTAAACTAGATAATGCAACAGCCTGCAGACCTCTTCTCACACGGTTCAGGTCTGCTGTTCTACTACATGGGAACACCCACTTGTCAGAGACAAGAAAATAGACATGAGTTAGAGCATGAAGAAGCAAAGCAAATTCTCTCCTGGGAATAAAGTCATTTTACTTAAGAGAAATGTGGCCACATTTTCCTTTTCTTTTTTAAATAAATACTCTTAGAATCTGATCTGAATGACTCGTATGATGCTGAGTAATGCACCCATCTAATGAAGGAGAAAGACTTCAGTCATTCTGCCCCTGAATTCACATCTAAGAGCTCAGTTTTATAGCATAACACTGGGTATTTCTACATTTTATTTTTTAAGCTTATGGAAAAACACCCCCACAAATTATGGACCTTGACAAAAACCTTGTTTGCCACTGAAGGCTATGCAAATAGAAAAAAAAAAAACCAACAAAAAAAAGCAAAATCATCACAGAGAGTATCAATGTATCTTATAGATTCTTCTCTAGTGCCAAATGATTCCCCTTGGGGTAAAAACCTTAGTTAGGAAAGGAGTGTGTACAAAGGAACTCGTGACATCTGCCCTCCAACATATGTTTGTACAAAAATGGTAATTTTTTCATAACAAATACAATTATCTTGTAAAAACCCATGTATTTGTTATTGAGGAAATTGATACTGTTCAAAAAAAAAAAACAACCAAAAACACAACCCAAGTGTAAAACACCTGTTATCATTTTTCCTTCAATTACTAACTCTGGGTACCATCAACACATAAAGGTAAGAAAGGAATAAAACCATTATTTCATAAGAAATGTATAGTAATTTTGTGCACAGCTGCTGATTTATGTAAGTGGACTTTATACTGCCAGGCAAAGTGATTAATATACCAGAAAAGAAGGTAAAAAGTAGGTCAGTGATATAGGACAATGGTTCTTCAACTCGACTCCCTGCCTCCAACTTGAAGTGTAACATTCATTCCTCATATTTTGGAGCACTAAATAACATTGTAACTAGATGCAGAAGACAAGAATTATTAGACATTACCCACCCTTGATCTTTACACAAAATTCCCATGACATCTATAGAAATTCCACAGCTGCACAAAACAGAATAAGGTCCATGGCAAACACAACTTTCAGGATTTGCTCTTCAATAAATATCACAAGTGTAAGAGAGACAGCAAATGTTAACATTTTATTGTTTTCAACATATAAAGGTTGTAACTCTCTGAAACAATTCTTGTAGAGCCATCTTGTGGGAAAAATAAGCAATTGAAAACAATATATGTACTCTAACTGGTTTTCTACCAAAAAGATCACTGTTCAGTATGACATCTTCTAGTACTCTTTTAAAAAAAATAAACGTCTCAGTCACACTGCAAACTTTATACAACATTGTTTAAACCACTGGAACATGAAGTGCCTTTATGAACAATCATTTGTTAAAAGATTGGTTCTGGATAGAAAAAAAAAATCATTAAGTTAAAGATGCTATTTTTCTGAAGAATGTTTTTAGGCCACCTTCCATTCAAACTCCACCCAACTGCAGCCCACAAAAAAGCACAAAAACCTAGAGAAGCTGAGGTTTCCTTCAGAGCTCGCTTGGCCAAATGAGTAAATCAGATGGAATTATTCAATCTAACTAAAATGTGGTAAAAAAAATTCCAAATAAATCTAAACGCAGTAGTAGATTCAGTACTTGACGCTGAGAAACTTCTGTTCTTTAACATCCTTAGCATTGCCAATTTATTTAAAGTTTTGGTGATCTGCTGGTTCTGAAGTACTTTACACCAGTTGTTTACAAAGAATGCATTAAATGACAGTTTTCTGTTTGTGTACGCTTAAGTACAGGGTCGGGCAGTCATTTTCAGAATAGCTGAAAGTCATGATTGCAGGCTTCAGCTACCTAGAGCAATCAAACATCCACTGCTGCTTGATCTATGTGTCTTGTCTATGAAGCTAAGCGCTTAAATTTTATCCTAGAGAACAAAAGCGCACATGTAGTCCATATATCTTACTCATTTTTAACTTATGCCCTATTAAAATACTTCATTTAAATAGAACATTACAGCATATGACATCACATTTATCCAATACATAATTATCTTCTATTAAGACAAAAGTAAAACAGAATATCACAGAACAATTCTACAAAGTGCACATTCAAGAGGTGTCATAGAAGTATGCACTTTTTGGAGCTGTTACAATCACTGTGTAGTATAGACTAGCAAGCATCTCTGTTAATTTTCGTTTTTTAAATAAATAAGGAAATTTGACAACAAAAAGGTCCTATGCTACCCAAAGCCTTTGGACATCTGTAACTAAAGAGAACATACTGGCACCCAGATGTATAACCAGACAACTTTGCTAAGGCAAGCACGAGTATGCAATTTTTAATTTTATACTTCTACCAAACTTTGAGTGAAAGAAGGTGTACATGTGCGCTTACAGCTTTCCTTCCTCCTTAAAGATGACAATGAGATCTGCTTCCTCCACATCCTCTTTAAACTTTGGAAAGGAGCCCTGACTCAGGGGCACTCGCCTTAATGAGATTTTGGATTTCTTTGAATTTTGGATGTTCTTTATCAGCTACCAACTGCAGCAATATAGCTTCGCTAGTAGTAACTATAATTCCAGTACGAGCAAGACGCTGAAAGAGAAAAGAGCAGACAATAACATGAGATACTTGCAAATGTGAATGAGTACACATTTTGTGAAAAAGATGGGTGCTATTTTTTAAAACATCTCCTATTAACAAAGTATTGCAAATTCCATTCCAGCATTTCTTAGTGGTGTCATTTACAAAGCTAGGATGGTAAGCGACCGGTTTTAGACTTCACTGAGGAAAAAGGGTGCCCTGGATTATAAATAAGGCTTCCTACTTATACTGGATTCTTTCCCCATGTCAGATTTAATATGCAGAAGACCCACTCCCTCTTATATTAACAACCCTTTCCGCTTGCATGGTCTCAATGATAGCTTTCTTCACTCCCATGCAGATTCAAAAGGCCTGGGGAAAATGAAAATAGTGAGGTCCAAGATGAATGCATTAAGGAAGAAACTTAATTGTAACAATTTCTCTTTCAGGGCTTGTTATGCACTAGTACTTGGGTCTTTGGACTACACAGCACGCTAGTACTAATAATCTCAGGAGACAGAACAAAAAGGTCTTCTACAGACCTTATAAATCATATTGGCACAACAGCCACTCCTTTTAACCAACACGTCATTACAGCCTCAGTAACTCCCGAGTTAGTTCTCACAGGCTACAAAATAAAAAGCATTGCTACGTAGAAAGCAAAACTGAAAGACATCTGCTAGATCTTGGAAGTGTGCAACTAAACAGAGCAATGTCTCATGTAGCCCAAGCCACAGGACTTATTGCAAAGTTTCTGGACTTTTTAAGACTGTGGTTGTTGCCTATGCAGCAAAGTTATCTTTAAGTAAAGGCTGACCACCTCCTGCTCCCCATCAGCTTCCCAGCAATCATACAGATGCTTTCACAGTAAAACCCTTCATGGATCCAGAATTCCCTCCATCATCCTCTAATCAGCTGCATGCCCCACCAAATCTAATGGGGTCCTGAATGAGCCAAGGGAAGGCAAGAGGCAGAAAATACAGATACATAAGCCTTCAGACAGGTTTCAATTGTAATTGCTAAAGGAAAGACAAGCTCCAAACTTTCTAGGGCAGACATAGATGACTACTGTTTAGTTGTTCAATTACAAAGCAAATGATGGGATAAAGTTATTAATTTTAGGGGACTAGTAAAGTATATGTAACTACAGTCTATATAACGATAAACTAACTGGGCTAGATTTACTCCATTTAATGCTTCTTGCTTGCAGTAATGGCAGCAAGCCTTGGATATTCTTAAGTTGAAACAAAGCAGATAGCTTCTCCAGCTCTCCTACTCTGTACAACGACACATACATGTGGTTTGTTTAAACCATAGACACATACAAAAGAGAAAAAATAGGAAAACCAAAATGAAATATTATGGTAATGTTTTCAAGGTGTACTTCACGAGGAATACAAAGTTTTTTAACTAGTATGGATGACAGAAAAACCAGACTGTTAAAGAACCTTGCCCTCTGATGAATGTTGATTGAAAAAAGAGAATGTCTTCTCTTCAGAAGCAAAACATTCTGTAACATGTCAAAGAGGATGACATTGGTTTATACTCTACTTATTGAACTAAGTATAATTTATATAGTTTTGAGATTAGTAGAAATGAAGAAATGCACATGCTAAGCACACTGGATGATTTTCAAGGAAAGGAAAAGTTTGCTTAGAACATAGTCTTTCAGACAAAGGGAAGCAGCAAGCGTGTGTTGTATACACGTCACAGAAACAAGTAGAACAGAAAAGAAATCCAGCAAGAATAGACTAAACTGACTCAATCTGAGACCAAGCAGTGACACGAGGCATCTTCATCAGATAGGGCAGAGATTAAGATAAGCCACAATCAGGTATGGAGGAAGTTTGCACAAGAGGCAATGTCAGACTCCCTGATTAAAAAGGCATGACTAGGAACTGTCAACTGTATGGTCAGACTAAAGCAGGATTACCCAATGCTTTAGTATTCTACCAACCTCCCTAAGAAACATATGTTCAGTTAGGATTACTGACATGCCCAGTACATGTGTCCCTTTCTCCTGGTCTCCGGCTCCCAAGCATGCCCACCTCTTGCTCTCAGTAGCATTTCTAAGAGAGGGTCTACAGCACAAGAAGGAGACAATGTCAGCATGTGCAGGCATAGAGGAGGAATTACTGCCACACAACTGGCTGGCTCATCACAGTAAACCAGCAAATGTTCCCTGAATCATGTATTAATGATTACTACTTAAGGAATGACAGAAAAACATTTTGTTTGTGCTTGGTGAGAAAACATTGCAAATACATACTAAAAAGTTACCTAAAACTGACCAATTTGCCTGGATTACAGCTTTTGCAACCAACCATGCTTTTAAGATGGTCAATACCTTTTTGACCAGTAAGAAAAGCAAAGCTAGCTAGTCACTGCTTTAACCTCTTTTACACTGAACCAACTTCTATACTTGCAGACAAAGTGTAAGTGATCATCAAATATAGAAAATGATACACAATAAGGTAAACAGATTTCAGTTTTCCTCTATTTGTTTTGTCTGCTGCTGCTGTACCACATTGACTTGGGAAGTCCATGATTTCAGTCATTCCTGCATTCTCTGTGCATCACTATGCTTTATGTGACAGACAACATTAAGCTTCCACTTAAGCAAAGTCATGGGTTTCATCAAATGCTATATGCTGGTGATTTTCCTTTAGCCTTTAATTCTCTTATTCATGAGAAACAGAAGAAATTAAAAGTCTTCTCCAAATCTATGAAGAAAAGTATAAAATACTGCAGTTATTGGTTTCAATTTCCAAATAATTTCTAGGCCCTTAGGCAAAAATTGCAATACTTAATGTATGTATCAGTTTTTGATTTCCAACAGTGATTTCTGTAGGCAAGTTACAGTATACTATCAAAAAATCATTTGTATGAATTTGCTACTACAAAGTTGTACATGCTTTCAAATCTTCTTGTTACATTTATCTCCACTTTATCAACATTTAGTTAGACTAAGCTCCTAGAAGAGTGGGAAGAGAAAAAAAAAGAGACTTTACTATAATCACTGTCTTGAGATTAAGCTTTAATTTGCACTGATCAGGAAAAGCAGAGGGAGGGACAGACACACAAGAAGGAGCTTTGAACGGGATCACTTACTATATTCCATTGCATTTCAAGGAATTTCAATAGCAGAACAAATACTGTTTGGAACGACAAAACCAAAAGCTCTCTAGCACTTCTACTCTGCAGTACAGTTAACACTCACAAGAAAATATCCTAAAATGCTAATGATTGTATAGAGTAACCTAGACTGCATGAAACTATCACTTTTAAAATCCAAGTGTCTGAAATATGTTCCACATAATAAATCATAATTTAGCAAGGAAAAAGAAGGGAGTAATCGTTCTCCATCCTGGAAGCTATTCTGAGAATCAGAGCACTGACTTCTTCTCAGGTCTACATTTGTCCACTGCTTACTGTCCTTAGAAATTCCTTGTTAGCTTACAATAAGCAGGGAAATTAACATACAGACCCAAGGTGGAGAAAACCTTGACTAAGAAACTTACCTCAAGAGCAAACATTCTGTCCATCATACTTCTTGATGACGTGGCATCAGCAACGATATGAACTTCTAGACCTCTGCCGATTAATTCCAATGCTGTTTGCTGGATGCACACATGAGTCTACACAGGAGAAATCAAAGGCAAAAAACCCACCAACAAGCCATTATTATAAAACATGAGTAGCACAATGCCAAATTAGAGTACAAAATTACATAGGGTTCAAACATGTATTTTTCTACCCCTTACGTTAGTAGGGAATTCGATGTGGGTTTTAAATGCCAACCAAACTTGAGACAAGTGCCTGTAGTTTACAAATACCTCATTTCAAATTTTATTATGAGATAATATCAAAGACAAGTAACACAAGAATAATTTAATCTGTAGAGGATAACTGAGCCCTAGCAATATAAACTGACTTTTTTTTTTTCTTAAATTACAGAAAGCAATGCTTAATACTATTGTGGGCCAACAGACATTACAATAAAACAGTACAAGAATGGCAAGGCACATACTTCTACTCCAAACAGAACAACGCTGCGGACTCCAGGTATCTCTGCTAATGCTGCTTCGACTTCTGGCAACACCATGGAAAATTTTGTTTTCGGAAGCACAAGTTTAGCTCCTGTTAAATCGATTTCTTGCACAGTGCTGCCAAGACCTTTGGGATACTGTTCAGTTACAATAACTGGAATTCCTAAGAGCCGTGCACCTTGGAGCTGCAAGGGGGCAGGGAGGAAAGTGTACAAGAAAAGAAATATTAAAGAATAATAATAGCAAAGACATTGTTATTACCTGAAACTGGATAATGAGTAAATTGGCCATGTATAAAATAATAATTTTATTATTTTGATCAAAACTCACTACAAGAAAAAAACCAAACACACACAAAACATACTAGTCGTTGGCCCACGCTGATGATATCACCGAAGTACTTGATGGCAGGCCGGAATCGCTCTTGCATATCACAACAGAAAAACACAGTGCTTGAGGGTGTCAGGTTGCCCAAAGTAGTCATCTGAAAAACAAAATAAAGATAATGTTTTCTGTGGCAGTGAAGACACTTTCAGAAAAGCAGCACAATAAGTAACAGTCTGCAATACCTCTGCCAGGTAACAGATTTATGTTACTTTAAGTTAAAGTAGGAGAAACGTTTTCCAAGCCTGATTTTGGTATGTTTCTGAATTCAAATGAATGGCTGATACTGACCAGTATAATACAGTCATCAATAGGTAATGAAGATTTATTAAGTGGGAGACACAAGTCAATGTAAATGTACATGGAAACTTCTGAACCCTGAAAGGAGTTGGAGGAACAAACTGCCTAAAGTACTGTAAAAAAAAAAATAGAGTACCAACAGCAAATTACATTCCTCAAATTCATTTTTAAATCCACAACTCTTTGAACTGACATAAAACCAGGATAAATTAAAGTTAAAAAAAGTCAGTCCTCCTCTTGCTTTCAATACTATGCACACATATTTTAAATAGTTTCATTGTGTAGTCAGTTTATTTTGTCTATGACATCTTTTAGCACAAGTCTGATGAAAGTCCAAAGGCTAGAATGAAAGTAGAAAAGCTTGCCAGTATTATGACCAGAAACTGAACTGAATACATTTTAATGATAAAAATAATCTCCCAGAGTTTCCCTTGTACATGCTACTGAGTGGGGTAGAAGGGGGAGGAGGTAAGGAAAAAAATAAATCAAAGACTGCTTTTTCTCACACTTTGAAAGAGTGCTTTGTATTTGTATGAAATTACTTGCACTGCCTACAGAAACAAAGCACAAGGCTTCAGCGGAGGCTACAGGGAAAGAAAGCAGCTACATAATACTATTTACTTGTAAGGCAACTCAAGAGAAATTACATCCATTCAGGAGCTTTTCAGCAGCCTGATAAATCAAATTGAATAAACTGCTTCTGGGAAGTAGCCATTGTTTGTATACACTTCATTTTCTGCAAACTGAGTTTGTGATATTTTAAACTAAAAGAAAATTACAAAATCTGTAATATAAAGTATTTTGGAAGAGCATGGATGCATTTGGTTTATGTGGCAAGGTTTTGGTAGCGGGGGGAGGCTGCAGGAGTGGCTTCTGTGAGATGCCAGAAGCTACCCCATGTTGGACAAAGCCAATGCCAGCCAGCTCCAAGACGGACCCACTACAGACCAAAGCTGAGTCCATCAGTAATGCTGGTGGCACCTCTGTGATAAAATATTTAAGAAAGGGTAAAAAAACCACTGTGCAACAGCAGCTGGGAAAGAGAAGTGAGAACATGTGAGAGAAACAACTTTGCAGACACCAAGGTCAGTGAAGAAGGAGGGGGACGAGGTGCTCCAGGTGCCAGAGCAGAGATTCCCCTGCAGCCTGTGGAGAAGACCATGGTGAGGCAGGCTGTCCCCCTGTACCCCATGGAGGATGATGGTGGAGCAGATATCCACCTGCAGCCTGTGGAGGACCCCATGCTGGAGCAAGTATATGCCTGAAGGAGGGGGAAGACCATGCTGCAGCAGGCTCCTGACAGGACCAGTGGAGAGAGGAGCCCACGCTGGAGCAGGTTTGCTGGCAGAATCTGTGGCCCCATGGAGAGGAGCCCATACTGGAACAGGTCTTCCAGCAGGACTTGTGACCTTGCTGAGGACTCACCAGAGGTCCATTCCTGAAAGACTGCACCCTGTGGAAAGGACCCATGCTGGAGCAGTTCGTGAAGAACTGCAGCCTGCGGGAAGGGACCACGCTGGAGAAGTTCGTGAAGGACTGTCTCCTGTGAGAGGGACCCCATGCTGGAGCAGGGGAAGAGTGTGAGGAGAAAGGAGTGGCAGAGTAGAAGTGTTATGAACTGACCACAACACCCATTCCCCGTCCCCTGTGCTGCCTGCATGTAGAAGGCAGAAAAATTGGAAGTGAAGTTGAGCCTAGGAAGAATGGAGTGGTGGGGGGAAGGTGTTTCGTTTCTTCTTATTTCTCATTATTGTAGTCTGTTACTGGTTGGCAATAAATTAATTTCTCCAAGTCTGCTTTGCCTGTAACGGTAATTGGTAAGTGATATCCCTGTCCTTATCTTGACCCATGAGCTTTTTGTCATATTTTCTCCCCCTGTCCTGGTGAGGATGGGGAGTGATAGAGCAGCTTGGTGGGCACCTGGCAGCCAGCCAAGGTCAACTTGCTGCAAGGGAATTGGGAATCCTTAAATATTAGTCCCAAATCTTTCATTGACTGACATGACCACATGTCTTCTGAGTAAACCACTTTTGATCTCAATTTCCAAGGCTAAACAACTGCAGTAATGGCCATGCTCAACCATATGGAATGGCCTGTTCAAATTGCTGTGAAAATTACTTGTGCATTATAATTATAAATGCTAAATTCCCACATCTCTCAGACTCAGTACACTACTACTGTCAAAACAGCAAATGTTCATAACCACAGTTCCTCCAGTCCTTGTGGGCAAAATAGCAATACTATTAATATAAGTAGTTATGAAGGCAAATGCAGTAACAACCATAAAGCAGATGCTCTAACACAGGACCCACTGATGCCACAGAAGACAGACAAATATCACAACAGGCACTGGGGAAATCTTTTTCACTAGAAAGGTACAGCTGCACTGAAGCAGGTTACTACCAGTGATGGGATCTCCATCCTTGGAGGTTTTCAGCATTCAGCAAAGCAACAGCTGATCTGATCAAGAATTGGCTTTGCATAGGAGGTAGGGAAGGCAGCCTCTAGATCTCTCCCAAATGACACTTCTGTGATTCTATACCATGTAATAAATGAGGCCTGGGAACAAAAATGCTTGAAAATAAAATTAAATATTGAATAACTGCCTTGTTCCTGAACACAATTCATCTATGTGCTTGAACAACACAGAAGCCAGTTGGTGGGAAGTACTAACTTACAATTTAACACCACAGTGAGCACCTACTGTGACCCATTCTAAGTCTGGCACTTGCTACTGTCAGAACACTAAGTCACGACATTTAACCTTCCTACTGCTCAGCAGCAAAAAATAGAGTAATTGGAATAGACAATATTTATAAGTGTGCCACCTACTCAGAAGATGTGTCATTTTGTCTTGGCATGTATATGACAAGCAAAGACCACTATTTTCTTCCATAAATCATTCTACCACTTTATTTTTTTTAAGATTGTTTTGAACTACTGCAAACCATCACGGATTGTAGTGTGATCTATGTGGAGTTTGTTTACTGCCTTAGTATACACTTCCTATGCCAATGCAGTGGATGGCACTACCATCCTCAGCCAAGGAACAAGTATGGATAGACTAGGAAGGCCTTCAAGAAGCTGCATAGGTTGCCTCTATGGAAGGATCAACCAAATGCAAGTATTCTTCACAGATACCTACCTGGTCTGACCCATCAGCAACACACAATTTAAAGAGCTGCTATAAAATCCAACCCACAGCTCCTTTGTTGTCATTTAAAAGCATTATTTCCAGTTCTCTCCATGGTGGATTTGAAACTCAAGAGCATTACCATCCTCCTTCACCATGCATAAGCATGCACAAACATCTATTGCCATAAGTCAAGACTGAGATCCGATCTTCCCTTAGTCCTTCCCCTCCATTATTCTAAAACATATCTAATACTTTCAATCTCTCCTCCTACAACTTAGATCATTTTCATCACCCTTTCTGGGGTGCTTTTCAAATTGCAGCATATAGTGAGGGACCCAATACTCTGTAACAGTAGTATTTCTCTGCTCATAATACTTCTTAGCCCTAGTAGAACCTCAGAGAAGATAAGTTACTTCACAGACCTTGCAGGTCCCGTTCAATCTGTACTTTCCAGTACACTATTTGCTCTTTTCATAAATGATGGTACTTAGACTCCTAAGGTGCATTTTACCTCAAAATCAACCTTGAACTCTCCCTCAAGTTTTAGTTGTGTAGTTGATTATTTCTACGTTAGTGTAGGAATTATTTCTACCTTTGCTGCTTCCATTTTGAATTGCATTTTATTTCACCTTGGTTCTGTAACTTATCATAAAAAGCCTGAATTCTGCTCTCTTGGATGCTTGCAGCTCCTCCCAGCTTGACACCCTCTGCAAAAACAGTATTTGGCCTAAGTTTTGGCAATGACATGGATGACAATATTTACAAACTGGATTCAAAACAGATGTTATAAAGTCCAATTCAATATTATTCTGATTTCACAGTGAAGCATGGAAGAAAACCCGACTGCCTTTCCAGCCAGGGAGCATCCTCATTAGGCTTCCACTGTATCTATAATCCCATGTGTTTATGACAAACATTACAGGGAGCTGGAGAAACAGCCATCTATCTGCTTTCCTCTATTATCAAGTTGGTTTAATATGATATAATTTATGCCTTCAGTGTAATACCAGCAGCACTCTAAAATAAAGTTAGGTCATCTATATATTTGCTGAATAAAACTTTCACAAAATCTAACACAAATAATTCCTAATTGATTTTTATATTTATTTCTGATTATCCTGCAGTCTGAATTGAACCATGCAACACATGGCAGAATAAAAAGAAACTGGAAGAAATAGATGGCAAGATAAAAAAAAAAATCAATGCTTGCTGGTGTACTTGGAATAGCAGATGTGAGAAGGACAGAGCACAGCAAAAAGCAGTTTGAAATTAAGTTTCATAAATAGTAGGTAATGCAATCTATAAATAAATTCACAGAAGTATCTGCTACGTATAATGAAAAGTTTCCATTTACTGGTTCTTCAGTGTGCCACATAAATCCTACCATTCACTTGCTCTCAAAGCTGTCCTCCTCTTCCACAGCCACACCATGTCAGGGACATGGGACACCTCTACTTCACACATCCCCTGACAGTGAAAACCACGATCGCCCACATCGCTCCAGCATTGCACCCCACCAGTGAGCTGGGTGGGGGCAAACCTATACCTAAACAACAAAACCTGGGCTGGCATGGCAGCACCTGTTTGCTTTCACTCCAAGGAAAAGCAGGCCGTGCAAGGACAGCAAGCCACTGCAGCCATACGGTAGCTGTCTGAATCCACTCCGAATATAACATCTACTCAGCCACAATATCATTAAACAACCTAAATTTAAAAGCAAAAAAAAAAAACCCCAAACCCCAAATCACCCAAAGTTCCCACATACAGTATATAACCTTTTCCATTTGTTTCACTTCAGTCCTCTCAGTCACCAGGACTTTCTTCCCTCCAGCTGGAAGTTACCCACAGCACAACCAGAATAGGTATGTCAGGTGGACACATAACCTGATGCAGCTCTTTTATCCAGTTAGAGAAGTCATCTCTAGGATCTTGTCCAGACCAGGATTTAAAGGTATGCTGTCACGAGTTACAGCTTTAAATCTGACTCTAGAAAAGGCTTAGGTGAGAAAGGACAGGTGTTTTTTCACATCTATTTAATCTCTGCTGATTATTATTAATCATACAAAATGTGACTGTGATGAAGTACTGTAATTACAGAATCAGCTTTACAAAAATATTCACATATACTGCCTCTGCATCTGTACTGTCCCTGTTCAAACTTCAGGAAACCATTACACATACAAAATGCAATTTTCCCCCGGTATTTGTAACGAACAAGAAAATGGAAGAAGAGAAATAGTCCCATGCGACATTACTAGTCACCTCATAAATCTCCTGCCAAGGTTACCCACTAAAAGGGCAGACAGAGCAGAGGGCCTCGCAGCCTTGGTATTCCAAGGATAGCATAAAAAGACAACAATGAAAATAAGCTGCCATATTTTCTTCTCCTTTATTTCTAAAATGGAATCTGTAAGATTCATTCTTACTTTGCTGCTTATCTTTCAAATGAAGAAATTCAGTTTAATGTGTTTTAAGGGAAAAATAGTTTACAAGTCTTTCAACTTAGGAATAGATATATTTTATTTTATGCTAAGCCAAAGTGCAGCCTTTTACATGCAATTCAGCATTTTAAAAGGACAGATTTAGATAGATAAGCATATGATGTTCATATAATTAAGACAGTACAAAATTCTTCATCAAAACCCAAAATGACCAAAATGCTTGCTGCAAAGATACACATAGAAGGAGTCTGGATTTGAAGAAACCTCTCTTTCCATATTTTCAGTCCTTTTTTTTTTCCCTTCTTTAAGGTTCCAAGTGCGGCTTTCTTAAAAATTTATTCAGAAACATTGTATTTAATTGTAGCACTAATGTATCAGAATTTATAATTGCACCTTTAGGACCAAAAAGCAAACAACTCCCCTCATCCCCTGACCATATCAATTGAAGGACTCCTATCCTTCAATTTATGCTTTGGCTTTTCCTGTAAGTCTTCAGGAAATAGACTTATACTCCTGAGTTAATGTTACTTCTATTTGCAAAGCATCTGAATATCGCAATATTGGGTATGTGTAAAAAGAGTGAAAATCTGTGTAGAAATAGTTCTATTTTATTTACCTTATCTTTCAGCAACAACTAAGTATCATTCTGCAAGCAGCTTTCTGCAGAAATTATATGCCTGAGACACCAACATGTCTTTTAAAAAAACACCCTGAAGTAGACGTGCTTTATGCAATGATTTTAATAATAATTTTACCCTTTTACCTCTAGCATCTTAAGGTTACAAGTTTGTAAATGCAGAACACAAGTACTGCTGAAAAGAAGTCACCTTGAAGTTGTAACAGCGACTGTGAAATAGCCTTTCTTGGGCATATATTCGAATGCTGCCTGACCTCCTCTGTTATATGGCTGTAATGAGCACACCTGTCTTATCTTCTGGTATCTCCAAAGTGTTTTTCCTTACTGCTTCTCTCCTCCAAAGGAAGCCACAGCAGTTACAGCAAAACACAATAGTTTTAGTAGCACTATTTAGCTGCATTTAGAAGAGGTTAAAGTGGTCTGCATTCTCCCCATTCCAAATATAAATACTATTCTCTTACAACTTTTAAAATATGTAACATCCATGAAAAGCAGATGGCTCCTTTCTGCTAGTACTCAGTCCTTCAAGTTGCAAGCAAATGCCCTTCTCACCAGCTGGGAGAGGTCAAAGGAAAAGTCCCTCCACACTGCAAGTCTACGGTTGAGGACTTTCAAGAGCAGCAGCCAGGCATCAGGGTTTACTGCATCTCACCAGCTTGCCTAACACTGGGTGGCTATTAAAAGTTCAAGAGGCTATTTTGCACCAGGACAGCTAAACCAAACAAATGTACATATACGAGCAGAGTATAAAGGCACAAATACAACTGGAGAGCAAAGGTCCCTGTACAGATCGAGCCTTGAATTGAGCTGTGTGGAGTGGCTTTCTGAGGGCAGCATATGGTGATTTCTCCATGAGATTACTGCCCCCCTCAACTGCAGGGACAGGAAATTGAAACAGCCCAAACACCATTTGTGCTGACATTTCTTGAGTTACTGCAACAAAAGGCATCCTTCCATGACAGGTCTGCACAGGAATCAACTGGAGGACATTGTTCCACAACTCATGGGTGCTACTGCCCTACGGGTTAAAATGCCAACCCTAACTAAATGCATACATATATTTTATAAAGCACACACAGAAAAATACTGAAATTATTGTCTAGGGATATGAATGCTAGTATCTGTGAATCTTAATTTTAAACCAAATATATCTTTCCAAATATGCAAGTCTAATCACATCAGTGAGCAAAGGTTGTCCCTCTTGAAAGATACGTTCAAAACAGTATTTCAACTATGCCACATGCAGAGTTGACAAATCTATGTCACATGCAGATAAAACATCAGAAGGGGGGAAGGGCACACAATAGTGGCAGTGCATGAATCAACATACAGAAAGAAAGTGTAATCTTCCCATCAGTAAATCCTAAAGGTTTTAAAAAGCGCAGCTGTGACCGTATCAGACCAAATGTTTCCCCAAAGGAGTGATCTCTGAGCACCTGCTGGTGGCTTAAGGCAAGCTGACTGACATCATTGTGATGTCTCCAGCTCATTCTCAGCTGCTGAAGCACATCAAGGAGGCAACTAAAATAATATGAAAGTACCATCATTTTCATATCAATAGTTGCTATTGTCACAGAATTGCAACAGTATCGGTGAAAGCAGCTAATCAGTTAGGCAATAATGCATTAAATATTGGTTCATCCCAAATGCCTGCAGTCAGTTAAACCTGTGTAGTGCATCTGCACCCTGGGAATGACGTATCCTTCCATGTCTCAACACTGACCTTTTACACAGAGATGTACATCCTGCTATGAGCGCTTGGGCTGCATGTATAGTTTCAGCGCAGAAGCCATCTGCAAGAGTCTTTGCAGAGCAGTGATCTGCACATATGAAGAAGAAACAAAATTCTGACCTGCACCACTGTTACATGCCCAGATTACACAAATTATGTTTTTAAAATCCTTGCTTGAATTAACAGCCATACCAACTCCTTTTGCAAGCTGCAGAGACTGTTCTTTCCAGTTTCTCTGGCTGGGCCCCCATCCATTCTGTTTCCAACACACAATCACCATTTTAAACTGAATATGATGGGTGATGAATGACAAAATGAATAATAAATGAAAAACTAAGTTATTAAACTAGTTTGGTCTTCTTAACCATTCTTTCCATACATATGGTTAAGGAAAGGACAAAAGACTCCAGAGGCATCCTTGATGTATAGTCTAAGCAAACAGGCCATCTTGACAGTTTATGGGTTCAAGGCACTACAATTAAGCATGGTTTGCAAACAGTGTGAATTAGACTGTTTCTGGAAACATAAAGACAAGCAATATTTCAGTTTTTATGACATCACTTTTTCAACTTGCTTGACAAACTAAAACTTCTTAAGTATAAATCAAGAAGAATGTTCTGAATCAAAACAGTAACTGTGAGTTTTGATGTTTTTGTGTGTTTGTTGTGGGGTTTTTTTGTAGTTGACTTATTTGATGCTGGAGAAAGCAAAAAGCAATTTTACTTTGAGCGTAACTGTTACAGCACAGCTAGCACAAATCTCCAGTGTGCATAAAGACATCTTAGCATGAAACACATGCACATATCCATCTGGCAGTCTGCTTTCCTGGTTTATGGCCACAAAACTAGTAAGTTATGAACCTGTAAATCGGAAAGCTTTTTTGGAGTAAGAAGGGATTCAGAAATCCTAGGGATCTATGAGCCATGAGACCAAGGTCTAGCACTGGCACGCTTTGAGTTTCCACCTAGCAGCTTTACCTCCAGTTAAAGCCGGGTAGCACCAGCCGCCTGTTTTAAAGACGTATTGATTATTTCAGCCACCAGGTTATTTTCCCATTCACGGGGTCACGTTAAGTTCTGGCTCGCTGAAGGCAAAACCTGGTAACCAAACACATGCGGCGCGGAGCGCACCCGCCTCACCGCCTTAGTAAAACAGAAGTTTCCACGGAAAAGTAAGTCAACACGTCCTGGCGGTGCTTCGCCCGCCGCTCTAGCGTGCTCA